TCGCTCGCAAACTTCAGGCTGGCATGGTCTGGATCAACTCATCTGGCGATTCACACTTTGGTATTCCTTTCGGTGGATACAAGTCGTCTGGAATTGGTCGTGAGTTGGGACAGTATGCGCTGGATGCGTATACTCAGTCCAAGGCTATTCATGTCAACCTGGGATTTGAGCTGTAAGGGAAGCTATATAGAGAACCTGAGGTGAGCTAGCCATAATGATACCATTTGTTACACCACCGATGGCTTTAGGTTCTGCTGCGTACTTGATGTTGTTGTGACTCTTCTCGCATCGAGCAGAGATTGTCTATCAATATAGTGACTGTTCTCTAGCTCGGTTATCTTCCGATGGATCCCCAACATATTTAGTATCTGTGAGAATGCGACTTTGGACTCCTTATCAGCATCCTTATCTTCATCATCCAGGAAGAAAAAAAAAACAGGCAAGTCAGTGACTCGGAGAGTATCAATCGCGCCGATAACCGGAGTCGGCATATAACAGGTCGAGACAAAGCAACGCTCGGGTTCTGTTTCCTCTTTATCGCATCCGAACCCCATGACCGGATTTCGGCCTGTCTTATCGGATGCGCGATCTCCGCTTTATCAATGAAGCATGTAATCTAATTCGTTGGAGGCTTGTCAGTGGAGAATGACTACAAGCAAAAGGGCGTCCAAAAAGATACCTGATAACATCGGCATTCGTGTCTCGTTGCCCGAAATATTAGATATAAATGATAGTATTCAGGCTTATCTGAGTTATGCTCTAGACATGATAAGCCTAATAACACATCTGAATTTACAATATTGCTCATTACCGCGCAAATAGTCCCCCTTCTACAGCAACAACATACCATATACCGCAGTCACAATGACAGTCACAGACCCAGTCAGTCCAGATGCTATCAGGGCCATGTTTGCCTCTGCCCTGTCGAGCATGTATCGACGTGAGGTTCCTCAATACGGCACACTTCTCAAGCTCGTATCCGATATCAACCACCAAAAACATCAACCCATCGAACCTCGTATCGAGGTTGAACGCCATGGAGCTATCAGACTTGGAACACCAGAAGAACTAGCCATGATGCGGCGATTATTTGCTGTAATGGGCATGCATCCTGTCGGCTACTACGACCTCACTGTCGCCAATCTCCCAGTTCACGCAACGTGCTTTCGACCTCTCACGCAAGAAGCTCTGGCTTACAACCCATTTCGGGTATTCACATCTTTATTGCGGCTTGAGCTCATCGAGGATGAGACACTTCGGACACAGGCTGCTGATATCTTGCGAAAGCGCAATATCTTTACAGATCGATGTGTGGAATTGATCGAACTATTCGAGTCACAAAAGTCTTTCTCAAAAGATGCTTCAGAAGAATTCATAAAAGAAGCCCTCGAAACGTTCCGATGGCACAAAACATCAACAGTTGACATGAAAACATACAAAGCTCTTCGAGAAGCACATCCCTTGATCGCAGACGTCGTCTGTTTCAAAGGACCTCACATCAACCATCTCACGCCTCGGGTCCTCGATATCGAGACAGCACAAGTTGAAATGCTTCGGTATGGCCTCCAAGCCAAAGACGCCATCGAAGGACCTCCACCAAGACTTTGTCCTATCCTCCTTCGCCAAACAAGTTTCTTAGCCCTTGATGAAGCGATTGCTTTTTCAGAAGGAGAAGAAACTGGAGGAAGTCACAAGGCGAGATTTGGAGAGATTGAACAGCGAGGAATGGCTTTAACGCCCAAGGGAAGACGTCTATACGATGATCTTATCAACGAGTGGCGGGAATCTGTGGCTAAGCTCACGTCTGATGCGAAGTCTGGTTCGAAGGAGCAAATTCTTGCAGAGGTTTTCCAAAGGTTCCCTGATGACTTGGAAACCATTCGAAAAGAGCAACTTGCATACTTTACATACAGTCCTGTTTCTAAGCTGTCAAAAATTTCTGGTGCGAGCATCGATAGCCTTGTCAGTTCTGGGGCCGTTAAGGCTGTGCCGATTACATATGAGGATTTCTTGCCTGTTAGTGCAGCTGGAATCTTTCACTCTAACCTAGGAGAAGACGGCGGGTTGAGTCATGTCGCAGAAGCGGATCAGGGGTCTTTCGAGAAGAGTCTTGGATGTCAGGTCAAGAGAGAATTCGAGCTGTACAGTGCGATGCAGGAAGCGTCGAGTCGAGAATGCCTGGAGAAGTAATGGGTTATGAGTGAATGACGACTTTGGTTTATTTAGCGACTTATGAGACGATATAATAATATGAATATGACGGTTCGATTTCCTAGAAGAGCTCTTGAAATACATTGATGTAGTTATCCAATGGTCCAAATCATTCGCTAGGGTTGATCGAGGTTAGAGCTTCGCTGATGGCCCCCTTGAGTTCGAACTCTTAGCATCAACCTCAATTTCCAGCCTCATACCCGGCAGGGCCAACTTCGCCACACCCAACACAACACCCCCAGGCCGACTGTTAGGAATTCGCTTCTTGAGAGCCTCAGCTAGAGGAGATAGTGTCGCGTCAATATCGGTATGATAACTGCGTACGTAGTACACGTCTTCCCAGCCACGAAGGCCAGCCGCTTTGAGAACATCATCCACGTTTTGAATTGTTTGTTCGGTTTCTGTCTTGACATCGGCTGATATCTCGCCTTTTGCGTTCCAGCCGCCTTGGCCTGAGACTTTGAAGTGGCCGTTGCCGAGATCTACGGCTTGGGAGTAGTGGACGGCGTCAGAGAGGGTTTGGGTGAAGCCGGGAGGAGTGGTATATTTGACTGAGGACATGTTGAAATGATAAGAACAGAGATATATTGGGGATTGGGAACTTTGTATTCAGATAACCGAGAATTCCTTGAGTGGTGTCGGAAGAAGGTAGTGTGAGGCTGACCCATGGTTTAAGTGAGGTCGTCGTAAAGATTATATACACCGAGTTTCAGATAACGTTGAAATGAATATTGTCCTTTTGAATTAATAAGTCAACGCGCTATTCTTACAGCCATTAGACAGTAATTTTACCCTTAAGGACTTGAATTATTGGTCTCGGCCCTCGGCCGGCTTGGATAACCGTGCATGCCGTGTCCGCGGCTCCATCCTAAAAAGCCAAAAGGCAGTATCTATCGACAGAAACAGTAATTCTGAGAGAGAAACTAGGTCATTTATATTTAGTGTCTATCCAAGCCTATGCTTGAAACCGGTTCAGGGTGCTTGAGACTCCATAGTTCAAGTCAGGATGAAGCTGGTTACCAACACAAAGTCAAGTATAGACTTTTCTGGATGGTACCATTAACCATGACCTAGACTACTGTGAAATAACATATGGAAAGTTGGTTTCTTTTATCAGCATGAAAGTGTACTGGCCAAGTGCTAAAATGACTTGTGACGATAGCGGTGAAATCTCATGCAGCCATGCTTTGTTTGTTGGCATTCAGATCTCGAGGCTGAGGCTGGTATGGGGCAACTGATTCAACTACTCTATCTGTGGATCCATGCTACTGAATCTACATAACTAGCTCAAGAAGGATACTATTAGCCAAAGCAGTAAACAAAGTCAAGAGCCCACCTTTGCTACTACCCAATGCTTGTGCACCATTATCACCCTTTCCACCCCCGTTACTTTGACCAGAGGCCTCTCCAGTACTAGATGGCACTGAGGCACCATCTGTCCCAGTACCTGTTGCACTCACACCTGAATCGGTCGTTTTGCTGGGTATCGCGGTCAAGCTCGTGGTAGGCTTCACAACAGCCTCTGCAAGACTACTGCGGGCCTTTTTGACATCCAAACCACAAGGTTTGGGTTTCGGTGAGGCGTCTTCGGCAAGAATGGGACAGCCAACTGTGTGATTGCGTTCAACCTTCACCGCAGTGCCCCCAATAGCGCAGCCGTCGTAATCGGCGATAGCCTTGCGTGCCGTCTTTGCGCCAGGGCGAAGAGTAAAGGTTACGTTCCCAGATCGTTCGAACTGATTGTTCTTCAAGAGAAGGCTGCCGTCTTTGCGTGGCTCGCAGACAGTGGTCCATCGCAAATCCCACTTGAGGATACAAGAATCTTCTTCGCCACGCCAGTACTGAAATTGGTCACCCTCGTCAGCATCAGCGATGGCTTTGCTCGTGTTGAGAAAGTAATATGGCTCCGAGTCAGGCAGAAAGTCTAAGTATAGTCGACCGATGCCGAAGAGGGTATATGCACAGTTAAGTTCCCAGTTGAGTGTGCCGCTGAAGGTTGTCAAGACTGGGGCGTTTTGAAGGCCGAAGATGACGGGAAATGGCGCTTCGGCGGCGTATGTATCTTCCCGAGGAAACACGATGTCGACTTCGCCGATGGCGGGGAACGAAACGACATCTTCGTCGGAGGCAGCTACCAAGACTGCGAAGCCTAGGCTGATAAGTGTTGACAGCAAGGCACGCATCTCAACGTCACTGGATCAATAGAAAAATAAGCTTAAATGAATTAACAACCACTTCCACTACCGACTGGGGAGATAAGCAGGCATTTAAGCTTCTTGTGGGATCGCGAGCGATAAAATGAGCTGGTCAGCCCTTTTCGAGCATGGATCCATCCCTGTTCATTGCATGCAAACCAGCACGATTCGGGGATCAGCTGAAAACCATGAAACAAGTCGGGCGTCTCGATTCTAATTGCGAAGGGCATTCTCTACCAATCATTCATCAAGTTATGTTTGTCACATGGCAATTAGTCAGGAAAATGTGGCCGTTTAATTGAGGTGCGAAAAATAGAAGGTGCTCCTTCCTGGATCGTGAATCACGATGCATGACTAATAACCTTATCTTCAGCCTTATATCGGGTGTAAGTCGGGCCAACGGCTGGACCGATAAAACAACAGCGAGCTGGGCAATGGGTTTCTTGACTTAAAGTTCCCAAGAAATTTTGTTGTGTTGATGAAGGATGCTGTTTCCTGAAGACGGATGACACTAGAATGAGCTATTGGCGTGAAAACTGCAAGGATGGGGTTGTTAGACTAGAATTTTCTCATGATAGACATCCAATAACTCCTGGCAACGTGGCGGAGTGGTTAACGCGATTGACTCGAAGCGGTTTAAAAGACCCTGGTAATCAATTTCCTTCGGGAGCGCATGTTCGAATCATGCCGTTGTCGTTTTTTTTTTTATTAAATTTTTATTTTAATTTTTATTTTATTTTTGGTGTTTGAGTTCCTGAGAAGCACATCACCACTACCAGCTTGGCTTAGCCATTGACCAAGAAGGGAAAGCCGATAAATGGACTTCAGATAAAGATTGTTTGGTTTTATTAATTTGTTTTATGTAATAAAATCCGATATATGTCCTTATGCTAAAAAGAGTGCTGTTGAGAAGAGCTTATAATATTAGAAAGATTTAAGACTCTTACTTTAGACAGCGAGAATAAAAAGTAAATAAAGAGTCTGCTAAGCTTAATCTAGAGAACTCTTAAACTATATAAACTCTCTCATTTCTTAGGATTAAGCTCTAGCGTTACATGATGTATTGGCCTGGATCCCTGGATGCTTGCAGTCTGTGGACTGCATTGACAATCTACGCCAATTGGTTTATTATCAAAAGCACGAGCGGTCTGGAATTTAATCGTGGCTGTCTCAAATAGCCTCAATATTTCTTTCTTTGACAATGATCTGAGCAAATGTCCGGTATGGTCGGTGTCCTTCATCCGGCATCTTACATCCGGTTGGTCGCACAACAAACACCGATGTTCTCGGCAGGCTGAGGTCGGAAGAAGTCGAAGACGCGAAAAGCGAGAATCACGTGTGCATAGAATGGAGACTTGTGTTTTGAAAGATCAGATCTTGTTTCTCAGTCTTTCATTGAATACATGATCGACTCGTCCAAAAGCACCGTGGGATTGTCATTCCTGGTCACTGGTTAATCACCATGAGCGTACAACGGATTGGTCTCGGCACCATGCGAGGTAAAGCATTCAAATTTATCAATGTTATTGCAATGGTCATATTGAAGTTTCTCAATAGGCGCTGGGCGACCGGGGGTTGTCTTCAACCAGAACGTTTCAAGATTGGCCTTCATCCGTCTGTTGTCTCAGCAAACCAGGTGAGCTTCCATTTTCAGCTCTCAATTGCCTTTTCTAATCTAATTCCAGAGAACATCCAACGATTGTTCATATGAACCAAAAAGAAGGCCATGAAATTCTCGTCAAACAACGTCTCAACCGCCCTGTCACCCCAAACCTCACGATCTACAAGGTTGGACAAGTCTGGTTCAGTGCATCAGCATGGACTCGGATAACAGGCCTTGCTGTAGGTGGTACAGCTTACCTGACTCTATGCGCCCATGCTTTAGCTCCTTATCTTGGAATGGGATTTGACTCTGCTACTTTGGTATCGGCTTTTGGCGCATTGCCTTTCGCTGCCAAGGCCGCAATCAAGTTTGGACTACTGGGATTCCCGTTTACGTATCATTTTATTAATGGTATTCGGCACTTGGTATTTGATCTGGGATTTGGATACATGAAAGCTCAGTTTAAGAAGTCAGAGGCAGCTACGTGGATACTGAGCATTCTTGGTGGTCTTGTCTTGGCCTTCTGGATCTAGATGTTTAGCTATTTCACGATCGAAGATCAATTAGGCGTCCATTTACTATTGCCAAATGGCATTATAGAACTATTCCCATTCCCATCATCCATTCATCTGGTGGTATAAGTGGCGTGAAGCTTGATCAACAAAAACGTTTTCTTTCTATAGTGAAGCTATAAACAGTTATGCAAAATTTTATATAAACAATGAACTTAGTTCCAGACCAAGCAGGCACTTCTCCAACAATCGCAAATCGCTTGCCCAGACTCATCACATCATCTCCTAACTTCCAGCATCGTCGGCAAACCGGGTAGACCGGTTACACGGTATTCTAGCAGTATCCACACCCGTAGATCCGGTAATATCCCGGATTTACTTCACCGTATGATTGTCTTACTCGTCAATCTTGGCCGGAGGTGTACCTCCAGGAGCAGCACCGGAAGGAGGAGATCCGCCCATACCGCCGCCGGAGTTCTCGTTGGCAACACCTCCCTCCTTGTAGTAGTAGACAGCAGGAGAGACAGAGCTGGACTGGGTGGAGTTGATGCCGAAGGCGAGCCAGGCGAAAAGACCATCGCTGATGCTGTCGCCGAGAAGAGTGTACTCCATGAAGGGATCGACACCATCGGTCTTGGTCTCTTCGCTCAGAATACCGTCGTCTTCGTTGAGGGTGAGTTCCTGGGTGTTGGAAGCATAAGGTTCGAGAGTTTCGACTTGGGAGATGAGATCTTGGTCGAAAAAGGCTTGTCCAACGTGGCTGGCGTAGTTATCCCGGCCGAGGGTCTGGTTGGCGAGGAGAGTCGCGTTGGCATGAACCATAACGTGGATGTGAGTAGCACGGCTGGTGTAGTGACCAGGGAAGATAGACTCGAACTGAGCAACACCATCAGAGTCGGTCTTCTGGATGCCTCGAAGCCAAGTCTTGTCAATGTTGGCCTCATCAGAGCTATCGCCATTGCCGTTGGCAACGACACCAGAGTACACGCCAGTGGAGTTGCAATGCCACATCTCCAGGTAGACATTGGGGACAGGGTCGCAGGTTTCGACGTCGATGACCTGGTAGTCGAGGACGATGTTGAGACCCTCTTGATCTTCAATGATGTTCTCACGAACATATTCGCCGGCCACGTCTGAATTATGTTAGCCAAAAGTCCCTAAACCAGAAAGAAAAAAGAGAGAAAAAGGAAACCGAAATTCCTTACAGTAAGGGCCCTGAGTGACTTCAGGAGTCAAAACACAAGAGTTGATGCTGGCAAACAGGACCGAAGGGGCAGTACAAGGGCTGAAGCCTTGATCAGTCTTGTTGTGAGAAGTGTTCAAGGCGGTATCAGCATCGCGCTTCTTCAAGCTTCGCTTCTGGCGAGCCTTGTTAACCTGGGCCGAACGACGGGCGATGTTGCGAGCTTCAACACCACGAGCTCGAAGCTTGGGAGCGCAGTGGGCGAGGGAGGATCGCTTGACAGAGCTGAGAAACTCGCGACGTTCAGCAGCTTCGTGAGCAATATCATGACCTGGATGGGCCGAGGCGATACTAGCCGCGAGGGCAAAGGTGGTGAGGAGGCTCTTGAAGGAAGGCATAGTGATGATTTCAATGATAGTTGATACTGCTTAAAGAACGATCTGGAAGAGACTGATGCGAGTGATGAGGGTAGATTGTGATTCAATTGCAGAAACTCATTCTTTATATCCATCATAAAGATCGCTTTCCACCGCCTCTTCACCACAACAACAACCCACATACCGAGTGGCACTGAAGCTGCATATTCGCATTGTCGAGAGGCGCATGGACACGCTGTGACGCGTTAAATGTTACAGAAGTAACCAAACGGTCAATTTCTCCGAATAAAGCTGCCAAGCTAAGAATGAAGCATAGACGGCACCTAAAAAGCACTGCCGAGGTCTAGTTTAGGGCCAGCCTATAGCGGAGAATGTAAACCGAGTCAGGCAAAAGAGATGACGACGATTGGCTCGCGAACGCGCGGGTCATTGGAGACACGCGGTCTTGTGGGGGTTTTCGTCGGGAGGTGGGAGCCCACATCGCGAGAGATCTTCACGATGGAATCTTAAAATCGAGATAGGGATACGTATGCATATTTCGTATTTGAAATTGGTTTTTCTCATTGGTTGGAGGTTTGAAGTGTGCTTTCAAGCTTATACTTAAGTTGACGTAGTGGTTTTCTAGACCGATGCTGCACATTCCAAGACTAATGCAAGCAGATAATAGGTAGACCGGGACAGGTTTCAACAGCTTCACAGATTCATGTCCCAACTCAAGTTCTTGTATTTATGCCCCATCGACACTTTATCATGGTAGTCAAGAACAAAGTCTTCAACGTTCTCTATAGTTCTCCATGTCGCTTTCCTGGCCTATGGCCAAGGGACCCAAGAGAATATAGCCATAGTCCTCACACACCATAGACTGTTGTTTTACTTACTCTTGCCGTTGTATCAGTTTATGCGACTATCATTGACAAGATAGAGGCGCCCTTTCAGATAAATATCTTGTAGTTGAAAGTAGAGTCTTCTTAATGCGCTGACACCAGGACAATCCAAGTACCCTCCATAAGTTCTCATGGTGTGATATAGGGCTTCTAAATCCAGTCATTGATTTTCTTTGGACACAGGGTCCCCGACTCTTGGCCAAGATCTTCTAGTCTCATACATGACACAGAGCTCTAATCATCGAAACACCCGGATATGAAACACACGATTAAATGTTAGTCGTAGCAGCTTCACGCTGGATAAAAACCATTTACAGAGGCACAATCTATCAACGGCACATCGGGTTTCGATAGCCATCAGTTAGAATGATAACAGTTGTGGAGATTGCGATCCATCAATGCCCCAGACCTCTGAAGCCCTCGAGAAGTGATCATCCTTCAGGGTAGCTTTGAACTGAAGCCGGAGTTGCGCGATGATGTGCTGTTCATTCATATTCTTATATTCCTCCCTTCCCTTGTACTGACCTCAATTACAACGCTGCGATAAAAGAATGACCAAGAATTTTAATATAGCAGCTAGGGCTACCACAAACTCAATTCAGTTGACTTTACTGGGGTCCTATACATGCGTACAATGGTCCAGGACAAATCAAACATGGTTATACACTTATATTTCTCATACTTGTCAGATTTCAATCATCTGTATTCCAGAAAAGTCCATTTGTGCAACATCCCGCTAGAAACAACGCCAAAGCCAAATCCCATTCATTGAATACTACACTAGATGCGGCTTCTTCGACAATTCCCTACAGACAATCCTTCCATCTTGTACCGCTTCAGTTCTAGTCCAGAGTCACGAATGAGCCGCATTCTAGTCTGTAATTACCCGCTTGTTGGGCCTTATCCGAGCTGTTGGCTCGTCTAGCCATGGTCCGGCCGAGAACGTGTTGTGGCGCTTGAGTTGACCCAGCGTGCCGGTCCGCCATGACATTGGTACATAAGATTAGGGTGGTATATTTATGCATTTTATGCTGCACGTCCAAGCGCATTTTTGCGGGATTAATCGTCGATTGGATGTTGAGACGCAGGGGTATCAATACGAGCGGGAACACCATCCTTTGTGTATCACCTTCACCA